TTGCTGCTGTGAAGAATACTCTCAAGATACTTAACTAAATTGGACATATTATTTGACCGGAGGGTGTTGGAGCGCATGTCCAGAAGTTGGCTGAGAGAAAAAAAATTTTCTGACTTAATACAAGTCAGTATTCCAAAACTTTTCAGTGAACCAAATAAGTGAACTTGGTGGCAAACAGGAGCTCACTCGGAATCAGAGTCACGCAGCACGGAAACAGAACTTTTGGCCCAACTTGTCCATGACAGCCAAATATCTTAAACTGATCTAGTCCCATTTGCCAGCAATTGGGCCATATCCCAAACTTTGTAGCTGTTTTGTTAGCTGTGGGACCATAGACAGATCAGAAACCTTCACGGACAGCTTTCAAGACATACTCATCAGCAGCTACCGGAAACACTCGCTTGTTCTCCCACTTTTGCTTTCTCAGTTTAATCTTCAAGTTGTGCTTTATTTGCTTGTAGTTGGCCCTGCTTGGCGATTTTTTTATTAGAGGATTAGTGAGCATTTAAACATGTGCAGGGCACATCACTCAAAACAGCTGCAATTCAGCATTTTGAAAGCATACAGTTTTTGATCCCAACTGATGATAATACTGGACAAGACAGAGCCAAGAGCGTGACCTGGTTTGATAGACCAATTTTGCATGGCTATAAAATGTTAGCCCTTAACTTTGTGTGCCTTGGCATCGCAAATACTTCTTAAATGTTATGAGGTTTCTGTCTCTATCACCCTTACATGGAGTGAAATCCAAATTCCCACCGTCAGGGTGAAAAGTTCTCTCTCATCTCTTTTAATCCTTCCGCTCCTTACCTTGTAACTATCCTCCTCAACAAAGGGAAACATTTATTTGTCTACCCTACCTTCACCCCCTCATTTTTTTTTTAAAATTCAATCAATGTCCCCTCTCAATTTCTTCAACTCTAAGGAAAACAACCCCACCCTGTCCTCTCTCTCTTCATAACAAACTCTCCAGACCAAACAACATCCTGGTGAATCTCTTCTGTACCCTTTCCAGTGCTATCACATCTCTCCAACAACGTACATTCCAGAACTGCCCACAACAATCTGGCTGTGGCCTAACAGTTTCAGCATAACCTTCCTGCTCTTACACTCCATGACTCAACGAATAAAGGTGAGTATCCCAAAATGCCTTCTTAATCATTTCATCCACCCGTCCTGATACTTTAAGGAACCGTTGTTCATGCACACCCAGATCCCGCTGATCCTCGGTGCTTCCCAGGGTCCTACTGCTCATCATATATTCCCTTTCCTTGTTAGTCCTGCACAACTGCATCAGCTCACATTTATCCAGGTTGAATTTCAGTTGTACTGATCAGCCCATCTATATCCTCTCATGGTCTAAGGCTATCCTCTTCACTATTTACCTCCCCACCAAATTTTGAATCATCTGTAAACTTACTAATCAACTCACCAACAATTCACTTATATAAACCATAAACAGCAACACTGGCACCAGTGGGAACCCACTGGACACAGACTCCCAGTCAGACAAACATCCCTTAATCATCACCCAGTGCATCTTGCCACTCAGCTAATTGTGGGTTAAATTTGCCAAACTTCGTTGGATCCCATTGGCTCTTACCTTTGCTATTACTAAAGAACAATTTGAAGCGGTCACAATAAATATCAGAAATAAGGATTCAACCCCTTTACATGTAACAACCTTACTCTTCCTGAGACTCTTTAACAAACTAACAAAGCTCATTACTTTCTTAACATCGGTTCCTGAAACTCCACAGCCTTCTGTTTCTGAATCTAACGAAGGCACAACTACTTTTTGTCCTCCAATTGGTCATCCACATATGCATGTAAAAAGAGTGATTATTTGCAAGTTTAGCAGTTTTAAGAAGTGTAACATTCTCAAGATGCTCTTTCCCCAATGACTTAATAAAAGTAAACTGTAGCTTATTCTGACATTTCCTCATTTCTCATTACCAATGGTAAATAAAACCGACATGAAATAGTTTCTCTCCACAGATGATCTCTGACCTGTTGAGTACTTAGCGTTTTTTAGTAAAACTATTAGCTTCTGTAGAACAGACAAGAGCGTCGAGGGATCTTACAGTCGGTTTTCCTCAGGAATCATAACAAACATATGTACCTGCAAGCCTACAGACCATAAGACGTAGTAGCTAAAGTAATACTCAACGCGACCAAAACAGAAATCGCTAAGAAACTCATTAAGTCTGGCAGCATCCGTGAAGAAAACGCACGGTCGACGTTTCGGGTGATCACTGTTTTTGTTTCAGATTTCTTGCATTAGCAGTTCTTTGTTTTATAGTAGAGCTTAACCCTCAACTAGACTCATCGAATTTATTCCGCCTTTCAATGAGATCATATCTGATAATCCTCAATTCCCCTTTCCCGCCGTTTCTCCATAACCCTTGATTCCCTCCCTGGTTAAAAATACATTTCAGCCTACAACATAGTTCATGTTCCAGCCTTTACAACAGTGTGTAACTGGAAGAACACAGAAAAAGGATCCCGACCCGAAACGTCAGCTTTCCTGCTCTTCTGATGCTGCCTGGCCTGCTGTGTTCATCCAGCTCCACACTGTGTCATCTCTGACTCCAACATCTGCAGGTCTTGTTATCTCTCAGTCTTTACAATTCTCTGTGTACAGGGAAACAGCCTCAGTTACAACGCAAACACAACCTACCGTTAATCGATTAACGTTTCTGCACAGGGTAGCCATCATCTCCTGGAGCACAAAAATTGTCAGGAGCAAGAATATAATTCGAGCTAAACACAAAATTAACTAAAACACCACGGTCCAAAAGACCAACAAGCACCGCGCACAAACCCAGAACCACTGACAATTCCCAGCTCCGTCTCCGACCAATCCGCTCCGAAGATATTGCTCCGCCCTCAACGTCATTTCCCCTAGCCGTGTCCCTTGCCCCGCCCCCTAAATCCACACCGCATGAGTTCCGGTTCCGGCCTTTTCTCAGTCGCCACCTGGTTCCCTTGTCCTGCCCCCTTTACCCAAGCCCCGCCCTGTTTCCGCTGACGTCTCCCGCTCAGGTTCCGCCCCTTTTTTCCCGGACCCGCGCCTTCCCTTCAACTGTTGTCGGGCCCCACCTCCTTCCAAACGTCAATAGTTTTTCTACTTGCACTTTGTAAATGCTTCTCTTCCGGTTTAGTGTTTCGTGGTGTCTCTATTTATTCGTATTCTTTTAACACCAACCCTTTACAGGTATCGCAATATTTAAGTGGTAGATCGATTATGATCTTTCAACAATACAAAAAACACGAGTGGATTGTGCAAGTGTTTTGACTGGTCAAAGCAGCTGGTTCAGGCGGACGGAATTAAGAAAAATATCGGTCCCTGGCTTGGTACCAAGAACCAGGAGAGGCATAGGGTTCCGGGTCTGTTGTAAGTACTGAATCAATCAGCACATGGGCTTCAGACAAGTAAATAACTAAACTACTTAACGAGAGATAAAACTTAATAAATAACTAGCCAGAGAGAAAGCGTTAAAAACTATAAGCAATAATTAGAGAAATTATAAAATTTTATAGAAATTGGAGATTCCACACAGAGTATTTGACTAGAGGGATTAACTGGAGAGAGCAAAATGATTGTGACAATTTCTCACAGTTTGCCCGCAGACAACTCCTGTTCAAAAATCGCCTTTGATGTGAGTGGTGAGAAGCCTGGATAGAGTGGACGTATAGATGTTTCCACTGGGAGGGACAAGTGTTATGGACCAGACCAGACCCCTCAAAATATTTTAAGGAGGTAGCCTAGACCCTAAGTTTTCCTTATCTTAAGAGTAGATGTGAAGTGCATATTCCAGGTGTGATGCAACTAGTCAAACACCTCAACGTTAAGCAAAATGCAATTTATTTAAACACGATAGTTAAAATACAAACAAAAGAAAGAGGGATTTAGAATAACTTAACCAAATAATAGATACAGTACCTATTATTAGTTAACTGTTACAATATTGTAACATCCTATAAACACACCCCTTGGTTCAAAAAGGTAAATTTAGACACAGATTCTTACGGGCAATTGTCCAATCCAGGAGGAAATAGCATAGAGAGATTTCAGAGAATGTAGCAGCTAGGAATAATTTTACTGGAGCTCCAACTCTTCTGGGACCCAAACAGCTTCTGATTGCTACAGCTTTAAAAAAAACTGGAAAGATTGATCTGTGAGAACTCGCCACTCCCCTTCTATTGTTACAATTGTTTTTAAGGAAACCTAAAGGCCTCCTCTGGTGACTTAGACAGTTTTCTGTAGCCACTTCGGCACCTCTGCCTTTCAACCTCTCTTCAAAAGAAATAGGACAAAATAACCTTTTTAAAGTGACAGCATCATCACACTAGGACCCAAGGGTACAGTCTCAGAGTGAAGGGATGACACTTTAGAACTGAGATGAGGAGGAATCTCTTCAGGCTGAGGGCAGTGAATGTATAGAACTCATTGCCGCGGAGGGTTGTGGAGGCCAAATCATTAAGTGCCTTTAAGACAGAGATAGATAGGTTCTTGATTGGTAAGGGGATCAAGGATTACGGGAAGAAGGCAGGAAAACAGCGTTGAGAAACACATCAGCCATGATCAAGTGGTGGAGCAGACTCAATAAGCCAAATGGCCTAATTCAGCTCCTGTATTTTATGCTTCCCCAGTGCCTTATAAAGCTAAATTTGAGAAGCAGTTTTTTTTTTAATTCTTTTGTGGGATATGGTGTTTATGCAAGCATTTATTGACCATCCCTATTTAATTTGAACTCGGTGGTACATGATTGGTGTGAATATTACTTGTCAGCTAAAGCCTGGATGTTGTCCAAGTCTTGCTGTATATGAACACAGGCTACTTTAGTATCTGAGGAGTTGCAAACCGTGCTGCACTTTGTGCATTCATCAACCAAAATCCCCACCTCTGACCTTGTATTGGAAGGAAAGTCACTGATGAGGTATCCAGGTAATTGAGCTGATGAATGCCCAGATAATAGGCCTCCAAAATCACAAGCATCTTCCTTTGTGCTAGGTATGACTCCAATCAGTGGATAGTGTTCCTGTAATTTCCATTGGCAATCACCCACCCGTCCCACCAACTTCAGTTACCAGAATCTAAAGCCCTTCTTACACCATCTCTCAGACCACACATTCATCTACTCTATCCTTTTTCTATTCTCAGTAGAGTATGGTGTTTTGATTAGGCTGGAGATTACCATCTTTGAGGTCCTGCTCATGATTCTCCTTAAAATCTACCTACAGGGCTTCCTCCCTCGTTTCACCCATGATGTTGATCCTGATATAGACCACAATGATTGGCTGTTCACCATCCTCATCAAATTATGTACTGCTCCTCAGTGACATCCTTGACCTTGACACCAGCAAAGTGATATACTGTCATGGATTCACCTCTGTGTTCTCTCTGTTCTCCTAACTGTTCCTTCTCAAGCTTATTCCTGCCCTACTGTAATGCTGAGCCACCCAAGGTGCCGTGCACTTGGTTCTGGCTGCTGTTCCCAGGGAAGCCATCCCACAGGTATTCGGAATTGAATATGAGTTGGAAAGGAAGATGGTTTCAGGACTTCTGACTACCTGTCGTAGCCTGCTTGACTGCTGTACAGTCACCCATTCCTCCTCTGCTCACATTCCCTTTAACTAAGTGTTAAAAGTTTAACTGTGTCCACATGGGCAACCATGTTGCCTACAGTTTAAATTTAAATTAATTAGCTGAGACATTTTAGGATGTGCTGAGTGTGTGAAAGGCAATAGGAAAACAAGCATTCATATTTCTCTTTAAAGAGATTAGAGAGTGAAAGACTGGACAAAAACAGAATAGCTAGAAAGGATATATAAAAGAAATAGTTGGAATGTATGTTGAATGGTTACAGCCTGACTAACTGAAGGTGGTGTTAAGTGAAACAACATAATTTATGAGAGATTAGAAGTTAGGGAAACAGAATAACTATTGATAACTAGTTATTACATTGATATAATCAATTTTTGAGGATGCACAGTATTTCTTGGAAGGCCTATCGAGATGGCAAACCCTCTGGCTTGAGGCACGGGCCGAGATACCGCGCCTCGACGGTAACCGAACCAGCTGCGGCATATTAAAAGGTTGGGAATTTTATCTCCTTTGTGGTTTGTTTTACTGGTGAGATCCGAGGTTGTGTCCTGTGTCCAAGTACAAGGTAAGCCATGAACGACGATGCGTTGACAGGGAGTTTAAGTTATGAATGAGGATTAAGAAGGAACTTGAGTAAATAAGGTGAAGTCTCTAAAGAAATAAGGGAAAGAGGACTCATAGCTTAGAGGCTCTACCTGTGTAAGAGGAAATGACTCCTTCCTCATTGAAGTTATGTAAGAAGTTACCTCCATCAATGAGAGAGAGGAAAAGTCCTCCCCAGTTTGCCTCTGTAAGAGGGTTGGAGCCCTTTTAGTGAGGTGATGTAAGGCTCAGGGACTGTTAGAGTTTAAAATTTCCAGAAATCTGATGGGCTGTAAATTTAATTTCACTTTACAAAGTGATCACGATTGGAAACAGTGTCTCCAACGAGACCTAGCCACAAAAGGGGACACCATTGACATATATGTATATTCATTATGGGCCGCGACTCAGTCAAATTTATCGACAAATGGGTAAATTGGACGCAGAAAACAGAAAAGCCGTTTCCCCCGACGGCACTTTTTAATTGCAATTGCTTCAAACAATTAGGTGTAATTTTGAGTCAAATAGAAAAACGAAAGAAGAAAGAAATTGGGTGGTCACCTTTTCAAAGTTGGCAGACAGAATCTAATAAAAGGAGGGAAAAGTCAATTTGGAAACGTAAGCAAATTGAGGAAAGTAGGAAAAGAAGAACGTAAATAATGATGGACTGGAGTCAAATAAGAACTGTGATAAAATGATGATTTCTAGTAAGTCTGGACTGAGACCTGACAATGATGATGAAGTTCAGGGATTACTGGGATGATTGTCATATCTGGTACGATCTAAGGCAACAGGACAGACACACCCATGATCCATCTGCCCCTGTTGCAGATTCAAGTACTCATCCTAACCCTCCCCCATCATATTACCATCCCCAAACAACTGCAAGTCCTGTACCAAGTAATCAACCCACTTCATATTCCAGAATTGAAGGGGATGCGGGATGCCTGCCGTTGTCAGTACTATTGTAAATGGGTTGCAACCTCGTATGAAACAGACATTTTGTACTGTTTGTAGAGGATGGGAAGCTAAAGATCTGAATGAGATCTTGAGTATCTTGCAACATTGCCAGTGCCAATTACAAATGCAACAGCAGAAAAATAAGGAGAAGCCTGTTTGGATCCTTACTGCTGATGACGGACAACCACCCCAAAGGCCTCCATGGGCCAATAAGGGTTGGGGTCGGGGTTGTGGTCGAAGTCCAAGAGAGACAATTGGCCCTTGTCACATTTGTGGCCGCATGGGACACTAGGCTCGGATGTGTAAAAGTGGCCATAAGTTCCCAGAGAATACTGCATCTTTCTCAGTTTCCAATCCCTTCTCCAAATCCATACCACATCAACAGCAGCCAGAAGGTGCCACTTCCTGACACAGGATACATCATTACTTTTGACCTCCCAGTCACTCCCAGACCCTTCATGCCTCCCCCAGGAACCCCTCATCCCAGTTACCATTAATGGAAAATCTCCGGACTTTTTGGTAGACACTGAAGTGACATTTTCCACTTTAAAAGCTTTTGCTTTCCCTGTCATACCGAAGACTAACAAATCAGTCAGAGCTGTGGTACTACCTGGTCGGCCGGTTTCCATATCTGTTTCGGCAAATGTATGCAATGTTCAGGGCTCGACTGGGGAGCACCAGTTTTTACTCACAGATGATGTTCCTTGAAATCTCCTGGGCAGAGACCTACTTTGTAAGATTGGCTGTTCACTCATTTGTACATCCATTGAGTTATAGGTCCTGACAGAACAATATGGCAACATTTAAGTACTCCAACAAGTCATC